TGAATTTCAGCCACCATGGGGCTCAGAAAGCTTCAAACATCCTCAGTCAGAGCCCATGACCATCCCCCAGATTGTCACCTCATGCTGTCTTGCACCCAAGCTACAGCCCTATCTCTTTCCTTTTATTCTCCATCAAATATCTTAAAGGTGGTCTACACTCCTTGTCATTGTATCTCCATTTCTACTCCTTACTGAGTCTCTGCTTTCACCCTTCTATTATGATGCAATTAGTTTTAGCAGTCATTTGCCTTCCTAATTGCGGAGCCTCATGACACTTCCTTCAATCTTCATTCATCCTATTTCATCAACAGTGTTGGTGACACTTAACCTTTTAAAACCTCTTTTCTCTCTTGACTTCCACAGAGCTTCTCTCTCCCATTCTCTATCCTCACTGACTAACCTCTCTCAGTTTCATTCACTAGCTCCTCTTCCTCCTACTGTCCACGATTGCGATGTTCTTCAGAATTCTGTCTTCTACCTCTGCTTCCCCTGCAAACCCTCGATGGCTAATCCCATGCATTCTCAACATTTTCACTTCCAAATAAATGACTTGTGCCCAGAGACTGAGACGGAGCTTCAGACCTGCGTGACCAACGGCCCAGGAGATGACTCCACCCAAAGGTGCTAGCTCCCTGTAGGGGAAGAAAGTCTCATTTTGTAGTGTTTGTGGTTTCTGGGGCATGAAGCCCTCCCTCTGTGTGATTTCAAGATATCAGTGTGAAGTCACTGAATACAGAGCTGGAAAGAAATGTGCACAGACAGCTGCTGAGCGGGAATAAGATCAAATCCACCCACCACTTGGGCAAGTGGCAAAGGCTCTCAAACATTTTTTTGACATATGGGAGAAAATACATTCTATGTCAGTTACCTATGTACGTATACAGTGAAAGCAAAGTTTCTGTGAAACAACACTTAACCTTATCACATGTGAAATACTTTAAAATCTGTCATGTTCCATTTCATTAAAAAATATTTGTCTTGGGGGGGTGCCTGGGTGGCTCAGGTCTTGATCTCAGGGCTATGAGTTTAAGCCCATGGAGCCTACTTAACAATAAAAAATATTTTGTCTCAACTCACCAAGTACACTTAATAGGCCCTTAATGGTTCATGACTCCCAATTTAAAAACATCAGCCTCAGGCCTTTCAGTCTCAATGTATAGAGACGTGTTTATTATCTCACTTTTACAATCTGTTCCTTTTCCCAAGTTTCCTTTCTCAGTTAATGGCTCCATCACCTACCTGGTTTCCCCAGCTAGAGATCTCAAGGCCATTTTGGACTCATCCCTCTACTGTCTCCTTCACCCCTTGCTGATATCGCTTAAGTAGATCTTCCTATCTCAGTTCCCACTGTCACTATCCTGGTTTATACTATCACCTTTCACCCCATAGCCTCCTAATTCATCCCCTGTTTTCAGTTTCTCCAATCTCGATGCATCTTTTTTTAGTAGAAAACTGTCTTCCACAAACCAGTAATGCTACTGCTCAGCTTACAAATGTTGATGTTTCCTCATTGCCCCAGGACATTTTTCATTCATTTAGAAAACATTTTTTTTGGGGGGGGGGGCAACTACTGTGTGCTAGGCTCCATATTGGATGCAGGGGAATAAAAATGACATTAGACCCTGTCATTAAGGAGCTCACAGTCCAAACCCCATTGCGTTACTCAGAAGACTCTGTTGGTAGTGCCAACTCACCTTGTCATCCTTCCCTTCTGTGCCATCCTATCTATGAGGCTTGCCAATTGCTGAATGTCAAGTTCCCAAGGAATATTGCTCACTTTTAGGCCCTGTGCCTTTGCTTATGTAATTCCACATTCTATCCTAGCACGCCACACGCTCTTGCTCTCTTTCTACTTCTCTTCTACTCATTCCTACTCATTCATAAAAGTCTTGGCGAAGCCTTCCTTTTCACACATTCTTATTCTTGAAAAGTTTTAAATACTTAGTCACTGTAATCATGCACATACTTCAAATAGTTATATTGTTCTGAAGGACAAAAACATAAAAACCAGGCCCTCCCACCTCAGCCCACCCCAACCCCACTCCAATTCCCCAAAGATAATCACTCTTAACAGTGTTTCTTGTGGGACTTTTGGTGATCTTCATGTGTTTCCAAAATAATATGCTGTACTATTATTTCTTGGTGTATCATCTTAGGCACTATCTAATTTCTAGTAGGAGAGTGAGCATTTAGCTCACAAACACACTGGCCCTATCTTTTCTCTTCCCTGAGCCTTCTGATAGAATTACATCTGTATACTCAGGCTCCCTGCTGCTCTCTCCACAGCAGAGTTACTACGCAGCTAGGACTTTACTTCTGTCCTACCAACTGTAAACAGTATCCCTTGACTCTCAGTTTTCTAAAATGAGACCTTTAGTAACTCAACCTTCTGTCCACCCTGCTTCCCACTTCTTTCTCCTTCTGCCTACCCACCTTTACTTTTACATTTAAAAAATTAATCATATCTCCATTCTCTTGTATAATCATAGTTAATTCTACTTTGGCTTATTTATAAGGTGATTCTAAAAGCTGAAAACCAATAAGCAATGTTCCCACTATGAAATTACGTGAATGTTGTTCCTTATAGTCTAGTAGAGCTCTGATTATACTTTCTTCTCTGGGCCATTCAGAGAAGTATATTCTTGGACTTCTGATTTAAATGTCGTCTCTGTGTTTAGATACTACCCAATAGTCCAAAATCAATCTATTGTAAGCTGTGTCACACTAGTAGTATGCCTTTTCTGGACATTTCCTCCCTTGGAGCTCCTATTTTTAATTTTTTTAATTTTAAATTTAATTAACTTAATGTTTTAATTTTTTCCTTTGCATCCATCACCATCTAAGAGCCCCAGGGGTTTCCAAGTTCCTAATCAAAATTTCAGTTTTATTGAATCCCATTTTCTCCTCCAGTTTATTATTTTCATCAGGATAGGTTGGCTTCCAGACTAAGCCTAGCTGTCATCTTGGAATTCCCTTGCTCTGCTCATCTGTGTTGGAGCCTCTTCTCCTTGGATCCTGTGCGGCGAGGATAGTTTTGACTTCTACCCTTTCCAGGGACGGCTAATAACTCACTTTTCTGAATTTTTGCAGTCCTGTGTCTACCTAATGAGATAGCACTCTGTGTTGTGATTTCCTTAGCCGTCAGGTCAGAGTTTGAAATAGTAACTGACATACATTGGCCCTTAATAAATACTATTTGAAAATACTCTTAAACACATTATTACTATTTAATCCAATATCTTGATTGAAGGGAGAGTCATCAGTTTTGCTTATATTAAAGAAGTATATAAGCACTGTTATGTTGATGAGAAATAGGAGTAAGACATAAGAAATGGCTCAACAAAGAATCAACTTATAAAAACAAGTACACAATTTTTTTTCCTTTACTACATAATATTAAAACAAAATCCATATCAGACCCACTTTTTAATCTGTATGTCCGTGAAAACTTGCCATTCTTTTGGAACGTGAGGCCCATTCTTTATTAATTTCACTGGCCTGGGTTGCCAGATAAAATAAAGGATGCCTAATTAAATTTGAACTTCAGATAAGCAATGAAGGATTATTAGTATAAGTATGTCCCATATATTGCATGGAATATACTTACACATACTTATATATAAGGTTTTTTAGCTTTTTGTTGTTTATCTGAAATTCAATTTTAACGGATATCCTGTATTTTTATTTGCTAAATCTGGCCACCCTACACTGGATATTTTCTCAGAGCACTAACCTGCTGTCATCAACCAACCACTGTCATCCCAGCAGAGAATCTGGTCTGATTTTGATGGGGAAAGCACAGAGCTGGCATTGAAAGAAACACAATATATCATACCTGCCTTCCAGACCTGCTTTCAAAGTCCACCACCTTTATAGCTGTGGCGCTGAGTCTCCAGCTTCTTCATCTGGTCTTAAGGTCAAAAGGATAAGGTCCTTAGAGCTCCCTTAAGTAGGGCAAAATGTACCCTTTTGTATTAATATTAATATTAATATTACATTAATATCACAGGAGGTTAGCCCAGGAAGTATAGGAAAATGTCATTAAGCCGATACAATTTTATTTAAATTTTCATCTATGGTTAGGTTTAAATAAGTCACCGCTTCTTTAAAAACACTGATATTAGGTAAGAGTGTGTTTGTGTCTCAGGTGCCCGCTCTATCCTAGCATTTCAGCCTCTGACTGATGTATTTTGATTAGCTCCATTTTCCTGATGAGGAAACGGAGAAGCTGAGGAGATTTAAAAAACAAAACAAAACAAAAAACTGGCCCAAGTCATGCCACTAAGTGTGAGAAATGAGCTATAATCCATGCCTTGTTACTATAGAGTCCTCAGAATAAAAATAAAATAAATTTCATCCGCAGTTCCGTCACCTCACCAAAACCCAAAAATCACTATTTAAAAAAATACAGAACTTTCATAAGGTCGCCCATGAATTTCCAACTATTTTCCCGGAGTCTCTAAATGAAGCTTTAAATGAGTACGTTTTAGTTAGAAGGTGGACGGAGGAGAAAGCATTGGAAAACGAAGGAGGGAATTTCAGTTAAACCCCAAGTAACTGGATTAAACCGAGTTATGAGATTGCCCCTTCTTCCAGCATTTCGCGTCAGAAATGCCCTTCTGATTGCCCTCCCCTGTAGCTCCACGCAGAAATGAAACTGAGCCAGCGGCAGGCCTTCCAGGCGCGGGCCCAGCGCACGTATTTCCGAGTCGGGGGTCTAGCGCACAGGGCACGGAATTGAGGAATGGGCACGGTCTTTCAGATTACACATGGAAGCAGAGTAACTCGAAAGTTGGTAGGCCAGACCAGGTTGGCTCGATGTCGAGTGAAGCAGGGAGCAGATCTGATCAGAATGAAGTCTGAGAAGAGAAATCGGGCGGCACAGCCCCCGCCCTCTGCACGTTTGGGTCCACCCCGGGGCTTGTTAAGTTAACCGGAGGGTGCGGGTGGCGGGACCCCGGGCCCGGGGAAGGTGCTGGGTGCGCCTGAGCGCGCTGGCGTCCCAAGTGCCTCTGCCTTTGGGAGGCCGGTGGCCACACGCTCCTCCCCGTCCCTCCTCCCGCCGCTCCGGGGCGGACCGAGGGCCAAGCCGACGCGCAGCCCACCCACCGGCCGCGCGCCCGCGGTGACTGAGGCTGCCAGAGGCCCCCAGCGCTGGCGGCGAGGAGCAGTCGGGCTCGGCGCGCTCCGGTCCGGGGGCCCTGGTTCCGGCGAGCAGCTCACCGCAGCACCCGGGTGAGGAGGGAGCGCGGGGCGAGGCGGGAGGCCGCGGAGGTGCGGGGCGCGATGGGCTCGGGCTGGACCCGCGCGGCGCGGGAGGAGGGCGATCCCGGAGCAGACAAGGCCACGGGCGTGGGGGACTGGGGGTGGGGGGCAGGAACCGCACCATCTCCTGCCGGGGGCCGACTCGCTGTCCCTTCCCCCTCGCGACAGCGCTGGGATCTTTACGGGGAGGGTGACGGAATTCGAACCCAGTTCTCTCAAACCCTTCCCGGAGGAGGCAACCCTAACCTAAGAATTCGGTGCCGAGAGGGAATCAGGGGAACAGGGAACACGGGGAGATTTCTCATCTCTAGATCTCCGCTGGGACAAAACAAACAAAGGAACACCTCTCTTTGCGGAGTATTGCGTTTTTCCGGAGCCCAGTTCAGAGTAGCTGCTGTAGGACCAGAACTGTAAGAACAAAGCACTACCTCTGTTACGCTCGCTTGCTCCGCACATCCCAGAGCTCCCCCACCGCGGCTCAGATAAGATCATGCCTGCTCTATCCTGAGTAAAGGGGAAGCTTGCTTATAAAAAGTCAAAGTCCATAGTCTCATTGTTCATCTCTCCATGAGAGACTATAGACTCTGAGAAACAAACAGGGTTTTAGGGGGGATGGGTTAGCCCTGTGATGGGTATTAAGGAGGGCACGTACTGCATGGAGCACTGGGTGTTATACGAAAACAATGGATCATGTAACACCACATCAAAAACTAATGGTGTACTGTATGGTGACTAACATAACATAATAAAAATTTTTTTTTAAATGGAAAAAAAATAAAAGCGGATAAAGAAAAAAATTAAAAAATTAAAAGTCAAACAAAATCAGGTGCAGAGAACACTGTCTTCCCCATCACAGTCTGTAGAAGTTTCTAGCTCCCCAAACGAAAAGGTCAGGCTTGCATTCAGGCCTGTGGTTCTTGGGGTTGCTGCAGAGGTGATGAGGAAGGGAGAGGTGTGGGGGGCTCCTTAAGGGGAGCTTGCCGGGTTTTTTTGAAGGACACAGGAGCTCAGGTTTAGGAGAGATTTGTGTGAACAAATCAGGCTTGTGCAAATTACCTTTGACCCAAGTGAGAATCCTGAGCTGGGAGACTGGTATGTTAAGTAGGAGCTGGAAAGTGTATCCCCTAAAGTGTTGACAATCCCAAAAGGCTCAGGACCAGATCGTGGGCTCCTATGCAACTCAGGGACCAGGGTATTAAGTATTGACCACCACAGGGCATGGGTGAGCTGCCAGCACCCCAGCAGATTTCCTCACAGAGGGAATTCTGGTGGTCCCCTAGAAGCTGGTGAGAGAACCCACCTCCTTGGCATTTCCCAGCTTGCACTCATTGCCGGTGGGCCCAGAGGGTTCCTTCCCTTCCCCAGACATTCCTGCAGGAGTTGCTGCTGTGGACGGCATGGTGATGCTTTTCATGGAACTGGGCCGTTTGTACTCAAGGCTGACGCCGGGAGTTGTGAGGGATATTAATTTGGTTCAGCCACTCATTTTACAGTTGGGAAATCCCTTTGGAAATCCCTTTATAAGGGCTTGCCCAGCACCCCAGGGCTTTCCCGAAAACAGACCCCTCCCTGGGCAGCTGGTTTCTAATTTCCTCTCCATTGGATGTCTGTGCCCTTTGAACTTCAGTAGTGAGGAATATGCAGTGAGGTTTCCCCCGCTAATACAATTTACCATCCTGTTTGAGACTCTCATCATAGAGCAGTAAGGAAAGTGCTAACTAGGTACCTGAGCAGGTGTGGGACCCCTTAGGAATGTCAGCTGGAGTTTAGGAATCTGTACTCCTTTCAGTGACACCCCAGAAAACGGGTATTTCCTGGAAAGGAAGGTGATCGTCAGGTTATTTATACTTTGGTTCATCTTAAGCCTCATCTGATAATTGGCTTGACTGACCTCTTGAGACATTGAGAAATTTCCATGAAAGTGAAGCATTGAAGAGAAAGTATTGAGTGAAGGGCACCTGAAGGGGAACATCCCCTTCCAAAATCACATTGTCCCAAGATTTCACCTGAAGGGGAACATCCCCTTCTAAAATCACATTGTCCCAGGATTCTGAGGAATCTCTATATTTTAAAGGAATGGGCAGCAGATTCTTACTGCCTCTTTCTATGAAGCCAGGCACCTGTCATGTGCCTTCACTGTCACTTGCTCCATTTTTACAGGTATGACTCATAACACACTAATAGAAACAGTCTAATATATATAGGCTTATAGTTAAAAAAACAAACAAACAAAAAACAACTTTGCAGTTGAGGAGAAAGAAAAAGCCTGCTATTAAGAACCAATACTGATTGGATTAAATGGGCTAGTTGATTCCTAGAGCAAGTTTTTTGTTCATTCCTTCTTTGGCTTCAAGAGATATTTATTGAGCACCTACTATGTGCCTGGCACTGAGTACAGAGCACTGAGTACGACAGATATAGTCTCTGTCCTTATGGAGTTCACATTCTCAAGTCGAGGGGTGAGCAAGGTAAATTCAGATACTACTAGATGTTTTTAGAGGAAAGGAAACAGAATGCTGTGGTAAGAGTACTGTGACGTGTGTGTGCGTGCGTGCGTGTGTGTGTGTGTGTGTGTGTGAGAGAGAGAGAGAGAGAGAGAGATGGACAGGTGGGAGGGGCCCCGGCTTCTTAGATTGGGTTTTATTTTATTTTTTTAGATTTATTTATTTATTTATTTGAAAGAGAGAGAGCAAGCAGGGGAAGGAGCAGAGAGGGAGAGGGACAAGCAGACTCCGCACCGAGCCGTGGAGTCTGACATGGGCTCAATCTCAGGACTCCAAGATCATGACCTGAGCCAAAACCAAGAGTTAGACGCTTTAATCAACTGAGCCACCCAGATGCCCCCTTAGATTGGGTTTTAAGGAGAGATTTTTCTTTTCCTTTCTTTTCTTTTAGGATTTTATTTATTTATTTGAGAGTGAGAGAGAGAGAGCAAGAGTGGGGAGGAGGGGCACAGGGAGAAGGAGAAGCAGACCCCCCGCTGAGCAGGGAGCCCAGACGCTGGGCTCGATCCCAGGACCCTGAGATCAGGACCTGAACTGAAGGCAGACGTTTAACCCACTGAGCCACCCAGGTGCCCTCTAAGGCGAGATTTTTCTGAGAGATGACCTTGAGACGAGCCCCCAGAATACTGACAGATTGTTCTGGTGCAGGGGCCCACAATCACGCAGTCCTGACAACAAGCTCAGTGTGTTCCGCGCATAGTCGGAGGGCAGTGTGGCTGGAGGAGTGAGGTTGAGGGCCGGGGGCCAGGTCATGCAGAGCCTCGTAGGCTGAGGTACACCATCTGGACCTGAAGTGCAGTGGGAAGCCAAAAGCAGAGGCGTGATGTGATTCAGATTGTTTCAGAGGTTACTGTGGGTGCAGTGTGAAGAGCGGCTCATAGGAGAAGAAGAGCAGTAAGGAGACCTGCTCCAGGTTTATTATGGTGACCCAGCAGACCGTGGTAGCAGTAGGTGGGCAGAAGCTGTTTCAGGAGGTCGAGTGGGAAGTTCTTTTATGCTTCTCTCTCACATTTCCCATCTACCTAGAGACGATGACTTTGTTACATCTGGTCCACTTCTTTCGTAAAAATAAGTAAGCTAGTGATTACACTCTTGAAGGTAACATAAGACTTCATTACTATTATTTACGAATGATGTGTGACTTTGAATTTCCTGTGCTTCATTTTCAAAAAATTTACAATAAAATTCTTTTGACTTTTTTATTCTTTACAATAAATTATGTGTCTTGTACATAAAACGTATTTCGATCTGTTCAGAAGGTTGATACATCTTAACTGTTACCCACAAAACACAGCATCCTAGAATGGAGTGAAACTAATTCTACAATACTAGCTGGCTTACTTTGGGAAGTTAAACGTGATTAGATAGAACCCCAAATAGAACATTTGAGTCTGGAAACTGGAATAAAAATTCAAAAGAAAGTTAACATGCTTGCCTTTGTCCTGGATACGGCTGTGTGCAGATATCTGAGTGCAAAGATCTGTTGATAATTGAAAAGCGATACGTGGCAGCAGAATTTCAGGAGAGGGCTGTGAACCAGAGTTGAATAGGATTGTTTCCCTTAGTGAAGCACTCTCTCTCACAGGGGACTCTTGAACTTTCTCTGGTTGATCACTGACGAAATTTTAGAAGGCCAGGGAAGAGTTTTGAAGTTGTTTACCAACGAGGGTAGGGATGACCTTCGCAGGAACAGGACAAATCACTGCCACAGTGAGGCAACCCTATTTCTCCTTCCTGCCTCATTTTGACCTGCAGCTTACTAGGAGATGTGTCCCTTTGGAAGAAAATTAGAGGTCCTTCCTCATTTACACGGTGTGCGGTGGAGGATTCTGCTCTTGGTGACTTGATGGACTCCTGGTTATCTTCTCCATTAATGATTTATCGGCCAGAGCACCTGATTTCAGCTTGAAGTGGCTCGTCTGGTGAATCAAATTGCAGACAAAATATGACAGGGACTGTGGGATCTGGAAAGTCCCTTAGGGTTGGGAGTGGTTGGGGCACCTTTAAGGGAGAAGTTATCATTTCTCCTAGAGGTGCCTAATTATTCTGTTTGATTTATGTAATGTTTTAAACTGTTGAATTAGCTGCTATCCTTTAGGAATCAGGAGATTTTACATAGAAATATGATTTTCCAGCTTTTCTTGAAAAAAATCTAGCAATATTAAAAATCAGGAGATTTTACATAGAAATATGATTTTCCAGATTTTCTTGGAAAAGAAAATCTGGTAATATGGAGCTCTCAACCCTACGCGCGCACACACACACACACACACACACACACACACACACTACGTGGCAGCATCAACTGGAACAGGATGGTGGTGTTCCTTTTCAGATGGTCTCCTTTGCCACAGTCCCCACCACTGTTTTGTCTGTCACTCATGTCCGGTTTAGCTCATTTGAGTTACCAGGCTGGCCCTCACAGGCTTCTGATCTTAAACCTCAGGTTTAGGGCTACCTAGTCCTGCCTGTCCATCCCCCTTCTACCTGTATCCAGTGCAGGAA